GCCCAGCGGGTCGAGGCTGCGGTGGCCAGGAGTGTGCCACTGCACTCCAGTCTGGGTGACAGAGCGAGACTCCAACTCAAAAAAAAAAAGTTTTACGGGAGGGAAATCACACTTCACTATATCACTCAGCTTTGAAGAATATATACAGTCATAATAATGTCAACATTGTAGTTCCAGCTACTTGGAAGGCTGAGGCGGAAGGATCGCCGGAGCCCAGCTGGTCGAGGCTGCAGTGGCTGGGAGCGGCCATTGCACTCCAGTCTGGGTGACAGAGTGAGACTCCAACTCAAAAAAGAACATTCCAAGTTAGTGCTATCAGGAAAATGGGGATATGGAAATATGCATATAGATGATGGCAGTGAGTTGGGGAGATAAGGAAGGATACCTAAAACGGAAAAATCCTGAAGTCCCAATTTAAGCATGTTACTTAGGTAATTATCAGAAGAATCAATTAAAAGAGGTAAAAGAAACTGTCTCTGGAGGGAGAACTTGGGCACCATGCTGGGGAGAGAAGGCTAAGGACTGGATTTTCATTAAATAACTGTACAATTAGTTGACTCTCAACTGTGTCTTCATAACCCTAATTAAAAAAACTTGAAAGAATGATGCTATGTGAGAAAAGGAAGCCATGCAGCTCTGAGAACGCTACAGCATCTACGCAAGGACCATGTGTATCACACTGGGGATGAACAAATGTTAAAACAAAAAAATTCCATTGTCTCCTTGCAGACAGTGACTTGAAAAAGCAGTCACTTGCCAGGTGTCAAGTTTGAAGATGTACTCTGGGAAAATGTTTCTAAGTAGCTAACATAGGTGAAATGAGAAACAAAGACATCAGAGTTAGAGAAAAGTTATTTAGAGAAATTTATTTAGACATTTATTAAGGTTTTTGTTTTATTTAAATAGCACAAACAGTAGTTGATATCCACCTGGGGAAGGAGGGGAACACCCCATCAATAAGGGTACATGCAATTTTAAATTAAAAAAATATATATATAGGCCAGCTGCGGTAGCTCAAGCCTATAATCCCAGAACTTTGGAAGGCCGAGGTAAAGAATTGCCTGAGCCATGGGTTTGAGACCAGTCTGGGTCTCCACAATAAATCAAAAAATCAGCTGGGCATGGTAGCATGAGCCTGTAGTTCTGGCTACTTGGAACGCTGAGGTGGAAGGATCGTTTAAGCTCAGCAGGCCGAGGCTGCAGTAGCCGGGAGAATGCCATTGCAGTCCAGCCTGGACAACAGACTCCAGCTCAAAAAAAGAAAGGAATATAATATGATATAAATAAATTCGAGAGGTTCCTTATGGGAGCAAGCTTAATTTTTAATTTATATAATATTTATAAGCTGATTCATAAAAGCTGTTTACAACCATCATCAGTACAGTAGAAAAATTCTTCTAGGTTCAAATCTCTACTAGGTATTTAATTCCTGCCTCTAAAAATAATGTACTTTTACATTTTAAGAAGAAATGATGTTTTTGTTTGTTTTTTTTCGAGTTGGAGTCTCACTCTGTCGCCTAGACTGCAGTGCAGTGGCCGCTCCCGGCCACCGCAGCCTCGACCTGCTGGGCTCTGGTGATCCTTCCGCCTCAGCCTTCCAAGTCCCGGAATTACAGGCATGTGCTACCACGCCCGGCTAATTTTTTGATTTATTGTAGAGATGAGGTCTCGCTGCCCAGGCGAGTCTCGAACCCACGGGCTCAGCCAATCCACTCACCTCAGCCTCCCAAAGGCGCGGGATTTACAGGCTGAGCCACAGAGCCCAGCTAAGAAATGTTATTTTTAAATAGTGTTTCAAACAGTCTATAAGCCAGTAAGTAGTTTAATGAGCATTTTGGTGAAAAGTTTTTACAATAAGTGTCACATTACAGTTCTGATAGCCGGGTTTAATTGTTCTACACATTGATATAAATTAGCAAAATAGCTGAAACCTACACGGCATTCAGAATTTCTTTCCTTAGTCCCCAAATATTTTTTCTTTCCTGATTTTATGGTCTGGAGTACTAGGAAAAAATACTAATTTTCCAACATGAGTTCTTGAACCTGAACATTATATGCTTAAATGCTAGATCAACCTTTATGCTTTATCTGGAACTACATGGTTTAACATTGTTGGAACCATGTTTTTATTTCCTTCTTGTTTTATAGAAACAAGTGCAGAATAGAAGCTGAACTCTGAAGTCACTCACCCATCCTAAGCGAGACATTAGTTTCAACTCTCACTACAGACATAAATAGAGCTGCTCATAGGGAAAAAGAGCTTCTCTCTTTTCAAGCTTTTGTATATCTTCTCCATTGGGAAATGCCAATTAATGAGCAAATAGCCATAATTATGACATCCCTGAAAGAAAAGAATTCATGGGGGAAACTTGGAGAAACAGTTGACTATAGATAGAAGCATTCTAAGTTTGCTTCTTATAATGTCAGGCTTGTGAAAATTAAAACTTGCTAGTCCTAATACCATATCAATACTTGTGAGGGAGGGGATTGGACTAAAATTCAGCTTATCTTATGAGAGTTCCTATTTAGGATTTAGTGAAAGAGAAATGCAAATAGAAACCTAATCTGACAATCATTAATTTGTTTACTGTTACTTTTTGTTTTACAAGCAGAAAATTTGCCCTAGTTTCTATGACCCAAATTTCTTTTCTTACTTCTAAAGTACAGCATTCTGACTGTCCTCAAATATTAGGCTTGAGGCTCTTTGGCCAATAGGAGGTTAGATTTCAATGAAAAGGAAACAGATGTAGATTTGGGTTAGTTACTTCAAGATCCTGTGCTGGAAAAGCCCCTTAACACATTACTCTCATCATAGTAACAGCCAATTCCATCTGCATAGCAATTCTTGTTTTATTCTTCTTAGTCTGAGCCAAGTTATATTGTGACTCACTCATCTACACTCTAAATCGTTACTTGTTTTGCTGAAAAAAAAGGCAATCAACTACTGTGGCAACAAGTAGTTAGTGAACTGGCAAACAGACCTGGTGTGTTGGTATTTAAACTACCAAATAACGTTTAGTTTTAACTCCAAGTTATTTCATTCTTGACGTCTCACCATCAGTACTAGTGCCTCACACTAGTATTTCTAGAAGATCAAGCAATGGAATCCGACCTGTCTTGACTGGTAAGTGGGAGGTTGACATTTTTCTTTCATCATCTTAAACATATTTCATAGTCTCATTCAAACTGTTATATCTTAAGTTCTTGATGGGGGTAGGGGGCATACTAATCCTTTTTGCTGTTTTCTGACTATCCTTCACAGTACATCTTTTTTATCTCTTTTCATTAAACTGTGAGTTCGCTTTCTTTTTCTTTTTTTCCAGGAGTCTCACTCTGTCACTCAGGCTGGAAGTGCAGTGGTATGCTCATGGCTACCACAGCCTCAACCTGCTGGGCTTAGGTGATCTTTCCACCTCAGCCTTCCAAGTAGCTGGAACCACAGGCACGCACCATCATGCCAGGCTAATTTTTTCTTATTTACTGTAGAGATGAGGTCTCATCAAGTTGCCCAGGCTCATGCCAGGCTAATTTTTTCTTATTTACTGTAGAGATGAGGTCTCATCAAGTTGCCCAGGCTGATCTCAGGTAATCCTCTCACCTCTGCCTCCCAAAGTGCTAGGATTATAGACGTGAGCCACTGCACCCAGACTGTGAGCTCATTTTCAGTAGAGATTTCCTTTTTAGTTGGGGATTCTGATGGTCCTAAATGTTAGAACTGCAGCTAAAGGGTTGCTTTGCACTTGTTTCACCAGTCCTAGACCAATTTTACATTAATTTATTGATTTGGAGACTGCTACACCCACATAACTAGTATAAAAATGAACTATATAACTCATGTATGGCAAAGATTGGGCCCTGAATTTCTCTCAAGAGATCATCCAGAACCCTACTCAGAGAGAAATACTTCTTGTTACTTTTCAGGAATAGCAAAAACATTTCTCCAGTTCCCCTTTCATTGAGGGAGTTGCCCTTCCAGGGTCTCTGGTTTATGCAGGGATCAGTTATCATTCCCCATCTTAGGCTGGCCCGAGGCTGCCTCCCCTATCCTATGAACATTAAAAGCTTTAGGGCTTACATCTGTACTATCAAACCCTCAGGGTTGCTTTAGCTTATGAGCTTCCTACTCTGCCTTCAAGTGGGGTCAGGCAACCCTAGAAGGTTTATATTTTGAAGAAAAGTTCAAGACAGGTGAAAACCAAATGAAACTTTTAAGCTGGTAACCAAGCAGTCTAAAAAAATTAACCATTTTCAAGAACAAGAGGCTTTTATAGACCAGATAAAGTTGTTCTCAGTTCCTTTAAGTTGCTGTTGTACTTATCACAGATATGTGATAACAGGGGGTATTTAAGTCTTTAAATGCCCTACCTACCTGTAGTCCAGTGTTCAAAGATAACCTTCACATAGATCTCTAAAATTCATTCATAAATAAATTAAATTCAAATTTTGCTATAAAAGTGTTAAGGAAAAAATTCTGTAAATAAGAAAATGTTCCTTTTTTTTTTGTTTTGAGTTGGAGTCTCACTCTGTCACCCAGACTGGAGTGCAGTGGCTTCTCCCTGCCACCACAGCCTCGACCTGCTGGGCTCCGGCGATCCTTCTGCCTCAGCCTTCCAAGTAGCCGGAATTACAGGCATGTGCTACCACTCCTGGCTGATTTTTTGATTTATTGTAGAGATGAGGTCTCACTGCCCAGGCGGGTCTCGAACCCGCAGGCTCAGGCAATCCACTCACCTCAGCCTCCCAAAGGCGTGGGATTAGAGACTGAGCCACCGAGCCCGGCTAAGAAAATGTTTCTTAATGTTTGTTGAGTAATAGAATGAGTATCTTTCTATGTCAATGCATGACTTTTGTCTTTCTTAAAACAAAACAAAACTCTTCTCCACAAAGATTTATTTCAAACCCTATTCCATGACTGATTCTATCATAAGGAAGAAAGAGGGGTTGTTATACAAATAAAAATGGGTAAGATATCAACTTGTACCACTCAAGTGAAGTAAAACTCTGACCTGCAGGTTATTCAGAGGTTCCATCTTCATGACTGGGCCCAAAGTGTTGAGAGGCAAGGAGACATCAATGCTCTGGTTTGGCATCAGTGGTGTATGTATGGCCAGAGGAGTGCTGGGGATGACGCCAAAGCTAGGAGAGGATAAAGAAATCACAGAGATTAATTGAGAGGCAGGAATTAGCCACATCTTTGGGTGGGAAAGACTTTTAACTCATTTGAAGAAAACAAATTTTTACTACAATTACATGGAATGAATAGCAGGAACCAAGTGTTCAATTCCAACTTGCTATAACATTGGTTATATCAAAACCTCTGTTTTCCATTAAATGGATTAAAGGAAGGAGAAAACATAAGTACAGAATTGTTTTGCTAGTGCTATGATCCTGAAAGTTTCTTCTCTTTATCATGTCAATAGAGGAATAGATTTGACAAATATAATTTTTCATAAATCTTTCCTTAGATAAGCCGAGAGAAAAAAGTTTTTAAAATTTCTACTCTGTAAAGAAAAGTACGGGGCCGGGTTCCGTGGCTCAGCCTGTAATCCCAGTGCTTTGGGAGACCTAGGTGAGTGGATTGTGAGCCCGTGGGTTTGAGACCTGCCTGGGCAACTTGGCGAGACCTCATCTCTACAATAAATAAAAAATTAGCCAGGCGTGGTAGCGCACACCTGTAGTTCCAGCTACTTGGAAGGCTGAGGCGGAAGGATCGCCAGAGCCCAGCAGGTTGAAGCTGCAGTGGCCAGGAGCAGCCACTGCAGTCCAGTCTGGGTGACAGAGTGAGACTCCAACTCAAAAAACAAACAAACAAACAAACAAACAAAAAAACCCCAGAAAAGTATGGGGCCTGGTGCAGTGGCTCATGCCTGTAATCCCAAGACTTTGGGAGGCTGAGGTGGGAGGACTGCTTGAGACCAGGAGTTTGAGACTAGCTTCAGTAAAAAAGTAAGACCTTATCTCTACAATAAAATAAAGAATTAGCTGGGCATGGCGGTACACACCTGTAGCCCCAAATACTTGGGAGACTGAGGTGGAAGGGTCACCTGAGCCCAGAGAGGTGGAGGCTATGGTGAGCCCTGATCTTGCCACTGAACTCCAGCCTGGGCAACAGAGTGAGAACCCAACTCAAGAAAAGTACAATAAATTAATATTATTTCATAGGCTGGATAACTTGCCTGATCAGTTCAGCAGATTATTTACTGGTGACTCTCATTTTCTTTTTTAAATCTTTCAATTTATTTTTTGAGTTGTAGTCTTACTCTGTTGCCCAGGCTGGAGTGTAGTGGCAAGATAAGCGGTGACCTGCTGGGCTCCGGTGTCTTCCAAGTAGCTGGAACTACAGGCGTGTGCTACCGTGCCCAGCTAATTTTTTATTTACTGTAGAGATGAGATCTTGCCAATTTGCCCGGGCTGGTCTTGAACCCGTGGACTCAGGCAATCCACTCACCTCAGCCTCCCAAAGTGCTGGAATTACAGGCTGAGCCACCAAGCCCGGCCTCTTCTTTTTTTTTTTGTTAATCACTTACATAGGGCACAATTAATCACAAGGAAAGAGCTAGTCTAAATAAAGCAGAATTAACTGGTTTATACATTCCAAATGACTAGGATAAGTTGTAGACCCAAATATGGCCACTTTATAAGCCTAAAGTAGGCAGTGAATATCCACCAGTTTTACTTCTCAAAGAAAGCCTGTTTAATAAAAGTACAAAAGGGAGAAACAGCTTAATGGGAGAGAGAAAAAAAATAATACAAGAAAGATAAAGAGATGGGAAACACAGACTGAGTTTGGAGTAACATTTCTTTTTTTTTTTTTTTTAGTTGGAGTCTCACTCTGTTGCCCAGACTGGAGTGCAGTGGCCACTCCCGGCCACCGCAGCCTCGCCTGCTGGGCTCCGGCGATCCTTCCGCCTCAGCCTTCCGAGTAGCCGGAATTACAGGCATGTGCTACCACGCCCGGCTGATTTTTTGATTTATTGTAGAGATGAGGTCTCACTGCCCGGGCGGGTCTCGAACCCGCGAGCTTAGGCAATCCACTCACCTCAGCCTCCCAAAGGCGCGGGATTACAGGCTGAGCCACGAGCCCGGCTAGGAGCAACATTTCTTTAAAAATGCAGGAGGGCAGACAGTCTGAGAAATATAAGAATGGAAACTTTGAAAACAGAGCAGAAAGGGGAAAATAGGCCTAGAAGTATAACAAACAAAATGGGCCTGGTGGCTCACACCTGTAATCCCAGCACTTTGGTAGGCCAAGGTGGAAGGATCACTGAGTCCAGGAGTTCAAGACCAGCCCGGACAATATATTGAGATCTCATTTCTACAGAAATTAAAAAAATAAAAAGAGCTGGAAGTGGTGATGCTTGACTCAGGAGAATGAGTCAGCAGGATTGCTCAAGTCCAGGAGTTTGAGGCTGTGGTGAGCTCTTGATTGTGCCATTGTACTCCAGCCTGAGCAACAAAGTGATACTCTAATGTTTAAAAAAAAAAAGATGGAAATTTATATTATATTTAGTCTCAGGAAAGAAGATGGGACTATGATACTTATAAAATAATTAAAGAGTATCTCTTTCAAGAGTCAGAATGGCTAAATAAATATTTTCCGTTTCTTAGACAAACTAAACCTTAAAGCAGGGGCCCCCAACCCCCAAGCCACAGTAATGGTCCATGGCCTGTTAGGAACTGGGCCTGTTAGAAAGCAGGCGAGCGAGCAAGCGAAGCTTCATCTATATTTATGGCTGCTCCTCATCGCTGGCATTACCACCTGAGCCCTGCCTCCTGTCAGATCAGCACTGAAAAGCCTGCTTTCATTTCTAACATCCTGTCTTTGTGAAGCAGGGTCTTCTGAAGTGACAATAATGAAAACAAATTATGGAGTAGATTAGACATGAGCAACATACTTCAGGTGTCACTGTCTCCCATCACCCACAGATGGGAGCATTTAGTTGCAGGAAAACAAGCTCAGAGCTCCCACTGATTCTGCATTACGGTGAGTTGCATAATTATTTCGTTACATATTACAATGTAATAATAGAAATAAAGAGCACAATAAATAAAATGTTCTTGAATTATCTCAAAATCACTCCAACCAGCCTCCACTACCCCCACCACCCCCAACAGAAAAATTATCTTCCACTGAACGGGTCTCTGATGCCAAAAGGTTGGGAACCGCTGCCTTAGAGTATCAAAATATACTAATGAAATGATCCTGATAATTCACATTACTCATTTAGGGGTAACGTTTATAGGTCAAAACACCATTTTCCTCTTTTGATCTTATTCTCATAGTTAGCAAAACTCTGTCACAAGTCAATACAGGGATAAAAACATGGCAGCAGTATAGTTCCAAATCTTCCAAGTGCTCATCTCAGAAACAATAGAGAGGAAACAAAGAAGGGGGGGAAAATCCCTACAAACCTACAATTTCACGTTCTGCAAAACCTTAAATCAGAGAAAACCCACAGAACTGATGAGAGAAGCTGTGATGGTATAATAGGGAGGCATAGGGAGTTCAGAGGAAAGTAGCAGTAGTAGGTCTAAGAGACTGACAGTAAATATCAATTCTCAGAAAAGAACCCCATTCCAAGTGTAAACTGTTGTGGGTAGGACTAAGAGCAAACAGAAGCAACACACGGGTAAGGGTTAAAAAAAAAAAGGAAGCCCCCAAGGGGTACCTAGAGGTGAGAGAGCTCAAAAAGTCTACTTTTTTGAGAGACAGGGTCATGCTCTGTCACCCATAGCTGTTCAATTATAGCTCACTGCAGCCTCAAATTCCTGGGACCAGGAAGGGAATCTGAAGAGCCTAGGACTGGAATAAAATGTTCTGTAAAATCACGTTAGATTCTGAGAGGCTAAGGAGTTGTGACTACACCACAGCAAATAAGGAAGAGTTCTTGAGAGTAAAACCTAAAAACCACCCTGCCTATCTTCCTTTTCCATCAAAATCTCCTGCTAATAGCTAGTCTTGCAAATTCCAACTCATTCAAATACGAGTATCAAAATGGTACAAACACAGCAACTATTCAAAAGCACTATTATAAAAAAGTAGGGAGACAGTTGTGTAACTTAATGACAAAACATACTTAGGAATAATTTTCCACTAAAACAAATGAAATTAGGAAACATTTGTACATGAAGTTAAGAAAGAAAGAAAAAAAACACACAAGTAAAGAAAGCACCCAGGGAAGACGTACTAGAAAATGTGAGGTGAGGGTGATACAACAGGACAAAATGAAGGGAAGCAAATTAAATTCAGAAAGAAATAATAAGAAAAATAAATCATGTAAGAAATGAAGACTAAACTATACAATGAACATAGGTGCAAAAATACTCAAAAAAATTTTTAGTCAATGAAATCCAGTAATACATAAGAAAGATAATATCCTGACCAAGTGGAATGTATCTCAGGAATGAAAAGTTGGTTTAACATTTCAAAAATCTATTGACTAAAAAAAACTCAATACTCATCTCAAAAAATGCAAAAGACACATCTGACAAAATGTAATATGCACTCAAAACAAAACTCAGCAAACCAACAGAACTCATCCTTCATGAAAAACCTACAGCTAGCTGGGCGTGGTAGCTCAGCACTTTGGGAGGCCAAGGCAAGAGGACTGATTGAGCCCGGGGGTTCAAGGCCAGCCTGGGCAACTTGATGAGACCTCGTCTCTACAATAAATCACAAAAACTAGCCGGGCATGGTGGTGTGTGTCTGTAGTTTCAGCTACTTGGAAGGATGACGTGGAAGGATTGCCTAAGCCCACCAGGTCGAGGCTGCAGTGGTTGTGAGTGTGCCACTATACTCCAGCCTCGGCAACAAAGAGTGAGACTCCAACAACAACAACAAAAAAATTTAAGAAGAACCTACAGCTAATATCACACTTAATGGTAAAAGACTGAATATTGGCCAGGCTCGGTGGCTCAGCCTGTAATCCCAGCACTTTGGGATGCCAAGGGGAGTGGTTTGCCTGAGCCCACGGGTTCAAGACCTGCCTGGGCAACTTGGCGAGATCTCGTCTCTACACTACATCAAAAATTAGCCAGGCGTGATAGCGCGCGCCTGTAGTTCTGGCTACTTGGAAGGTTGAAGCTGAAGGATCGCCAGAGCCCAGCAGGTCGAGGCTCCCAGCCACTGCACTCCGGTCTGGGTGACAGAGTGAGACTCCAACTCAAAAAAAAAAAAAAAAATACTGAATGCTTTCCCCAAAGAATCAGAATAATTTTCTTAATTAACATTTACTGAAGGTCCTGTTAGTATAAATCAGGCAAGAAAAATAAAAGGTGTAAGATTGAATAGAAAAATATGTACTGCTTCTATTCATAAATGACATGATTTATCTATGCAGAAAACAATAAAGAATTTACAAAAAACCTACAAGGAAGAAAAAGTGAGTTTAACAAAGCTGCAGGATACAAGTTCAATATACAAAAATCAATTCTATTTTTATACACTAGCAACAGTCAAAAATTAAAATACTATTTATTATAACATCAAAAATATGAACTACTGAAATTTGACAAAAATGGCAAGATTTGTATATGAAAAATTATAGAACATTGCAGAGAGACATTAAAGACCTACATAAATGAAGAGATACTTGTATACCATGCTGATGGATTAGAAGACTCAATATTGTTTAGATATCAATTCTCCCCCAAATTGATCCATATATTCACTGAAACTCCAATAAAAAAATCTCAGCAGATTTTTTGTGCGAACTGATAAGCTGATTCTAAGATTTATAAGGAAATGCTAAGGACCTAGAATAGCCAAAACAATTTTTGAAAGAAAACAAAGCTGGAGGACTTACATCATCTGATTTTAAGAACTACTATGGAAAAAAGTTTACCTTTACTCTTTACACCATATTTCAAAATTATCTCAAAATGAATTATAAAACTAAATGTAGAAGCTAAAACCATAGCACTCATTTTTAAAAACATAGACACTATTAAAAAAGTTAAGACAGGCCACGAATTGGAAAAAAATGTTTGTAATACATATCTCTGTCAGATTTGTATCCAAAATATATAGAGAACTTTAACAACTCAATAACACAGCACCCTGCCAAAACAACAACAAAAGGAAACATCTGAGCACATACTTCAAAGGATGTAAGAATGGTTAATATGCTCATGAAAAAAAAATGCTCCACATGAGTAGTCATTAGGGAAATGGTAATTAGAATGAGAAACATACCTACAGGAATGGTAAGGATGTGAAACAGCTGGAACTGTTGAGAACTGGTGAGGATGTGGAACAGCTGGAACTTTCACACTTACTATATGATCCAGCAATACAGGAAAATCGAAAACATACACCCATACAAATATTTATACACAAATGTTCACAGCAGCTTTAGTCCTACAGATAAAATTGAAAACAACCCCAAATTCCACCAACTGGTAAACAAGTAAACAAGCTGTGGTATATCATCAGTGGAACACTACTTACCAATCAAATGGAAATGGATTACTGATGTAAAAATCTCAAAAGTACTAAAGTGAAAGAAACCAGATACAAGACTCCATATTATATGATTTCATTTATAAAAAATTAAAGTGACCAAAAGATTGATCTTCAGAGAACAAGGAAACAACCAACACAGTAAACACAGTAAGAGACATAAAGAAAAAGACAAACAGAATTTGAGATTACCACCAACCATAAAGTATTTTTGTCAGATGATAAAGCCCAAATCTAATTAAGACTGCAGGTCTGACTCAAATTTCCAATTAGCAAAATCCAGATTGTGGGAAACTCCACAGATAAAGACCCAATTTCTTTTACAGATAAATTTTAGGGGAAAAAAGAGAGGGAGGAGGAGGAACTTACAGTTTAAAAAAGACTTGAGATGCTTATCAACCAATTGCAATATATGGGGACGTTATTGGGACCCTGTTCAGACCAACCAAACTGTATAAAAACATTAAATAGGTCGGGCTCAGTGGCTCATCCCGTAATCCCAGCACTTCGGGAGGCTGAGGCGAGTGAACTGCCTGAGTCCGCAGGTTCAAGACCCACCCGGGGAACTTGACAAGACCTCGTCTCTACAATAAGTCAAAAATTAGCTGGGAGTGGTAGCACATGCCTGTAGTTCCAGCTACTTGGAAGGCTGAGGCAGAAGGATCGCCAGAGCCCAGCAGGTTGAAGCTGCGGTGGCCGGGAGCATGCTACTGCATTCCAGTCTGGGTGACAGAGTGAGACGCCAACTCAAAATAAATAAATAAATAAAAAATAAAAACATTAAACAACTGTCAAAATCTGAACACTTATTGGATATTTGAGAATATTAAAGCGTTTGATGATAGTTTAAAAGATTAGACAGAGGCTAGGCTCGGTGGCTCAGCCTGTAATCCCAGCACTTTGGGAGGCCGAGGCAAGTGGATTGCCTGAGTCCGTGGGTTCGAGACCCACCCGGGCAACTTGGCGAGACCTGGTCTTTACATGGGCAGGCGAGACCTCATCTCTATAATAAAATAAAAAAATTAGCCGGGCGTGGTAGCACATGCCTGTAATTCTGGCTACTCGGAAAGCTGAGGCAGAAGGATCGCCGGAGCCCAGCAGGCGAGGCTGTGGTGGCCGGGAGCAGCCACTGCACTCCAGTCTGGGCGACCGAGTGAGACTCCGACTCAAAAAGAACTGGCAGTAAGCACAAATTCAAGACAAAACAAAGATAGGGATATAGGTGAAAGAATGACATGTAAAATGATACAACTCACAAAAATAGGAAACAAAGGGGCAAGTAGGCAAAAAGCAGACTAAGTTCTCAGCCTCAACTTCATAACTGAGGGTCAAGATGACAAATCAAGTAGTAAAAGTTTAAGCATGCTTAAGAGTATAAAAGTAAATCCAAAGAAAGAACACAACTGAAATTAGGCAATAAAGAAAGCAGGGATTAAAAGTTGTTTTATAAAGGAATAAGTATAATTATCAGAACACAAATATAACTTTTCTAAGTATCATAATGAATTAAAAAAAAGACAAAGACAAATAGAGATGGATGCAGACTATGCTGATTTCTTTTATTACAACAGACTCCCCCAATAGCCTTGGCCTATTTCTTTCCCCAGCAGCTTTGGCCTTTAACAGGGCCTGCTCCCCCAAAGTGGCTGGAAAAATAACTAGTTTTGACAGAAGAAAACACAGACTTTCTAGGTATTTAAATGATTTCTAACGTGCCAAACTCTCAAATCCAGGGTAAAAAGATGTTTCCAAATGATGAGAAATAAATGAGACAGTCATTAATGCAAATTGCCACTGAAAGTTTTATTAAATCTGCTTTAAGGGTTAAATTACTACTTTGTTATAAGGCAAGTTTGACTATCTCATATTTACAAGTGAATGAAACTGCTATTAAAGTCTATCAGTCAGTTTCTGGAACCATAACATTTAATAAAAATCACTGATGTCTCAAAAGTATAAGACATTAACATTTTGCTTCATGTTGTCTTCTTTATTAAGGCAGAAAATTAATTGCTAAAAGATTGTCAGCCTAGTTGTGATTATTTGGTTAACATGTATCCTGAATGCCTTCCATATTTCTTTTTCCTTTTTTTTTGAGTCAGGGTCTCACTCTATACCCAGGCTGGAGGGCAGTGGCACAATCATAGCTCACTGCAGTCTAAAACTCCTGGGCTCTGGCAATCTTCCTGCCTCAGCCTCCTGAGTAGCTGGGACTAAGACTTGCACCACCATTCCTACTAATTATTTTATATTACATAGAGACAGGGTCTTTCTATGTTGCCCATACTGGTCTTGAACCCCTAGCTTCAAGCAATCCTGCCTCGGCTTCCCAAAGCACTGGGATTACAAGCATGAGCTACCACGTCCTAACCATCTTCCATATTTCTGACACCTACCAAACTATGCTAATTTTTCCCATTAAAATGTGAACTTCAGTCAGGGACTTTGTTTTGTTTACTACTCTAGCCAAAGTACCTAAAAATGTTTGGCATATAGATGCTAAATAATTATTTGTTGAATGAATAAATGGATTCCAATCAAAAGTTTGTCTTAATTGTTTTTTTAAAAATGTTCTAGTACTAGAATCCAAGAAGACAATAAATAAGTTCCGATTTTTTCACCTCATTTGAATGAGTTTTCCAACAAACTTTTCTTTTGCCTCTAGAATTGAAGTTAACAATGGAAAGGACTTGCAACAGCCAAAGCATCCAGCATCTGCCAACATGTGTTTTCACCCACAGTTAAATAGAACATTCTGTTGTTGGACATAAGGTATGTATACACTGTTGTCTCAACATCAAACTGGGGATTCAGATTTCTTACCTATTCTTGTTAAACTGGATTGCAAAATCTGTCATGTGCTGCAGAGCTTTATTAGTGAAGTTCATTTCCATATAGATGTGCCCTTGGCGGTGAGTAAATGTTCCTGAAATTTCCAACCCTTTAGCCTTTACTGCAGGTAGCCAGACCTGAAACATAGTATAAATAAAGCTCAATAGAATCAGTCAAGATCTATCTTGATGCTATTTATTTTTTTAACAAAAATCAAATTAAGATTTATTTATTTTTATACTGCAAACATCAAGTTAGTGCAAAAGACTTTGGATCAAGTCTTATTTTCTGAATATTGAGATCATTCTCAATCATTTAAGAGCCACAAAAACAATCTATAGGCAACCCTGGCTTCTTCTTTACCTTCTGTTCAACTTGGTAATTTTACTGCTTTTGAGAACTGCTACCAAATATATATACAAGGAAAAAAAAATTCCAATGAGTATAAAGTGTTTTTCTGTTAGTTTTGGGAAAATATTTAGAAGGAAGAAATTGAATCTACTAATGAAAACGGCATGCCTCTAATCTTTGAGGAGATTTTCATAATTACTAACCAAAGCCATTATCAGTAACTTTCTTAAGAACATGGACCAAGACTTATGTATATTTTTAACTCTTGCTATAGTTTCTGGTAAACAGTAAATAGTCAGATGTTGCTTAAATGATCTGAAGTCCTGTTCTAACTAATTCATTACCTACTCCTGGTTCCAGAACCTGTGATACTCCTGGCCTATCCCAGTAAAAAAAAAAAAAAAAATCGGGGGGGGGGGGAAGCCAACCCCTTTGGGTCCCCTTCCACAGTGGGAGCGTTTCTGTCCTCTCAATAAATCCTGCTTTCTAAAACAAAAAATAAAAAAAACACCTTTTTTTTTAAGTCGAGAAATTCATGAGCTGTTCTGACTGTCTAAGACAGAATACCAAAGAGTCTGTGGATGGTGAGTATTCATAATAATACACTCAGCCACACTAAAAGAATGGGGAAAGAGGACATAGATAATCTAAGTGTTCATCAACAGGGAAACGATTTGATAAATTATGTATAGCATATCAATTCAGTAGATAAAGTCACTCAAAACAATGTGGCAGAGAAAAACCAAGGTGCATAACAGCATATCCCAAGACATAGCATTTTCAAAGGATACAAATATATAGGTATATGCTCGATCTTTTCTTTTGCTTTTGAAAGGATATACAGAAAGTTAACAGTGGCTATATATGGGGAAACAGGGGCAGGGGAAACAATTTTCCATCTTATATTTCTATATTATGTATATTAGTTATTTGTATGTATTACTTTTATGATAGTAAACAAGTACATGAGATAACCTTTTAATTATTAATTAAAAGTCTGTGAGGATAATATCCAACATAGTAAACCTTACATAGTAAAGCTATCGAGTTATGCCAAAATAACATGGCTGAGTTTTGAATCATATTTTTGGTTATTCTATGGAATGACTATACACACACAGTTATGGCCCCTGGAATGGACAGTCACTCTACATCCCTATGGTAGGGATCCTTCACATAAGGAGTCAGATGAGTAGGCAAAGAATTCAGGAAGCAATCGGGCGTGGTGGTCCTCAGAAAGACAAGATTGTATGAAGTATGCCCTAGCCTAAACAGCACTTTTTCCCAAGAGCTTAAATGAACTCCATTAACAAGGAATTTCTCCTCTTGAATTTCAATCTGAGTGACATCAAGCAAGGTCGAGACAAGAAGCGTCCCAATGACACAAACTTGAAATAAAACTCTAAAAAAGTACACTAAAATACATGAAAAGAAAATTCGAGCAATGACGCTCTAGAATCCATATGTAATACCAATGGGGAAAGAAGGAGAACAAGAAGGAAAAATGCTATATTTCACTGTATTGCATTTTCCGCCTGCTGGTGCACTGTATACCAGATTTCCACTATACTGACTTCTATGTTGATGAGCTAGACAATATTTCTAAACATGAGAATAAAACTCAAGTCCTTAATATTTCCAATTTGAAGTCTAATTATAAAAATGTTTAACAAGGATGCTAATGGTGCTTCCTACTGATAAGTTTGAAGCCACTTTTCATTTTTCTCTTAAATCACACATAACAAGGACCCAAACCTTGGATTTATTAGCAATGAAAGTAACATAAATGTTACAAGTGAAAAATCTGGACCTTGCCCATTAAGAAAGTATTGCTATGCTAACCCTTTACTTACAGCTTTAGGAGCCACATATCCACCAGGTGCCATGCCTATTCCTGTGGAGAGTTCAAACAGGTCATTCAGACCACTGCTGACCACAGCAGGTGTAGGTGAAGGAGCAAAGGTTGCAGGCACTGACGATGGGATAAAGGACTGTCCCACCTGCAGAGAAAAAAAAAGGAGGGAGGGGAGATCAAGAACAGATTAATAGTCCTTAAAATTTTGCTAAATATTTTAGCAGTACTGATAAGTCAATAAGAAAACACCATAATTACAATATTCTTAGGAGTTGAATTAGTATATTTTTTGTCTTTCTAATCATCACAGTTATTTTTTTCTTCATTGTTAAGATACACACACTCTTTAGAAGTTTTATCAAGAGAGAGTACTCAGCAGGGTACAAGAACATAGTGATCCAAGATTTTGTGTGTTTGTTTCCAATTTTAGCTTCCATGATTCTGTGCAAAAGCCCTACAGGCACACTAAGAAAGGGAAAGTTTGTTTCTATAGAAAGAGGGAGAAGCATCCAACTTAAAAAGCAGCTCCATTTCCACCCGTGTTCAGCAAAGTCTTAGTTCTTCATTTATAGCATAAATATCTAGTAGGAAGCTCTCCTGGGGGAAACAAATATTCATGCCCCCCCAAACTAACTTATTTATGAGGAGAGTCTCACTCTGAGTCCAGCTGATTCTCTCAAGTTCTTTCTAGGAGACACCAGGGAATAAAAGCATTCTCCAGTCAAGATGGGAGGTTCCATTTCCTTTAGCTCTTTAATGTCAGAAAGACAAAGATCTCTATAGGCACCAGAATATTAACCCCTAAAGATGTCCCTACATCACATGTGGTGCATGATCCAAAAGATTCCAAGTATTCCTATACTACTTTCTGTTCCTCATATACTGTTACAGAAGTTTTGGTGTGCTGATAATGTATACATAGAGAAGAGCATCAAATGAGGGGCAGCGCTTCCCATGGTGAAGAAAACAGTTGGCACTTACTGCCGGACTTCCTCCAATGCCCCCGCCAAGGTCACTGCCAAGCTGAAAGAGAGAAAGGAGAGAGAGGAGAGAGAGGAAGAGTTCATTTAGCTAAATACTAGATGCCCATATAGAATCTGTAAATTGTTCTACCAAGTTGCTGGAAATACATGCCATTCAACTTGTCTCCCAAAGCCTAAAGAAATTCTAGATTGCAAAGAAATATGTATTAGGGGAACCAAGTGTGATAATAATGGTGTGTGGGTTTTGAGAAAACATGGAAAGGAGATGGAGCTGGGACATCTCAGGGATGTTTCAGATCCAATCTTTCCGCAGGCACAAATCCAAACAAAATTTAAAGAGACTTTGCATATTCTAAGAAGCTCTATCCCCAAGCAGCAATGTTTTGAATGTCTTATTTTTTTCTTTAAAAGAAAATTTGAGAGGGGGAAAAAAGGAAAAGCAAATAAATAAATACACACACCCTAAAATGTGCTCTGATCTATATAAAACCTGCTGCCCTACTGAAAAGTAGAAACCAAATCACCATTGAGCTGTAATCTCAAGCTTCAAAAATTGAAAGTGGAACAAAAGTGATTTTTAGAGTTTAAAACATAAACTCTAAAAAGCTTATGTTTTATATTTTACTAAAAGATAAAAACAGTTGGGATAGAAAGATACACTACCTGATTAGGAAGTAGGGAAACATCAAATATCTCTCAAGTCAATTCTACTAAGGAGAAATACTGCAATTTATGTGGAGAACATTTAAAACGATGCTGGGCATTAGAGAATTAGACTAACTGAATTAGCTAGCTGACAAGAAAATAATTCTACATGGTCTTAGTCTTGTTTTTTTCCCCTCAGGGCTAGGATAGATATAATTCATCCTAAAGTCAGTCTTCCATGACAAAAACTTTAAAGAAAAACTGAAGCCGAAAACAGCTGGCATTCAAGAAATAGAAAACACACAAAACACAACTAATGGCATTATTTAAAAAACAAAAACTACTTTTTTTGCTATAGTTTCACATTTGCTTCCTCCCTAGTTCATTGTGCATGTAAACCATCTACCTGAATCATCAAATACCTTGTCGCTCCAAAAACATTTTCCTTTATTGTCATTTAGTGGTAGAAACTTGGAGATCATTGTGCTGTGGTTGTGTTAAAAAACAAAATTATATTGCTTCCTTAGGATGTGGGAAAGAGGATTTATCTATCTTCTCAATGAACAGATAATAGTATATAAAATGGCATTCCCAAAATCTAAAAATTAATCTTAAATATTCAATCTTAAATATTAAAAAAAGAAAGGCCTATGACAAAATTCTATTTAAACCATGACAAAAATAACCTCGCAGGTGCTTCATAACTGGCATTAGCAAACATGCTTTGCATGAAACTACAGAGCACTCCAAAGCACAGAGACAACATTTCCAGAATCTTATTCCTGAAGACTACTTAATGGTTGGACATGAGATGAAAATCACATACTTAAATACATTAAAAGGTCATCCTCAAACCAAGAATTTGAATAACTGGAAAAATGTGAAAGCAAACAGAAAAGATATTACACATCTGCTTTCTCCCTGGTTCTATAATAGCACACATCTGCAGCATGACATCTGAAAAGTATGACATCCTTTCATTCAGACAAACACATAACATTTGCTGGATAAAAGGCATTATGAGGGATATAAAGATACTAGGCAATGAGATGACTATACAGTAAATAAGAAAGAGGCTTTGCAAACTGGCAGGAAAAATAGAACATGAATGCAAAACCATACAAAATACACTAAAACAAAAAAGGAAAGTTCTTTCCTTATTCTGGTCGAAAGATAATGAAGAGAAGCTTCAAAGAGGTGGTAGTGTGGGATTATAATGGGGAAAATTATAAAAAGCAAGAATGAGGGAAGGGCATTCCTCAAATAGCAAGAACAAAGGCTGAGAAAGTATGAATAAAAGCATGATCAGGAAGAATGAGTAATTCAGTTAGACTGGAGCACAGGGTAGATTGGTATTAAAAAAATACTCATACAAAATAAGTTTGCAAAGGCAGTCTGATTATAGGAGATCTTTAATTTTTAATTTCCCCTTCTTAAAAACTTAGAAGTTTTTAGCCTAATACCCAAACTTTCTAAGAGTCCAAATAATTACACTTCAATTATGTTCTAATTACTATGACTTCAACCACCTGTGTGCAGTGGTGGGAAGTGGGGAAAGGGGTGCTTTAAAAATAACTGAAGCCTGAGGGTGACCTCAGAGATAGTAATTTAATTGTTTGGAGATACAGCCAGGGCATTAAAATTTTGAAAAGCTCCTCCAGTTGATTCTAAACTATAGCTAAATAAAAAACACTGTATTAGAGAATTAATTATTTGAAGTCAGACAAGAGTCACCTGTTCAGAAATGACTTCGCTGCTTATTTCTGAATAAAAAGGAAGTCAGAATTTGAACACAGAGAAAAGTTCTAAGATGGGAGAGGAAACATTAAATAAAAAAAACATGCAAAGGATTCTATTAAAAAAGTCTCATTTATCCCAAGACTCTGAAGTGGTTTTACGACTTTCTGATGGGCTTGTCCCTTCTCCCCCAAACCACTCTTCCCCCTCTGGCCAGACTTACAATCCATGCTTGAAAGAGATAGAATTCTTTATAGACTTGACTGGCACTCAATGGCAAGAATGAAGAAAACACTGGAAAGGAAACAGCAGTTTTATCAAATATGCTAAATTGAATAAAAGACATTGAAAAAAGGTACTCAATAGTGATGTTTAGACCGAAGGAAATAAAATCCATTTATAGCCCTCATTTTCTTGGATTTCATTCTTTTTATCTTCTAATATTATGTATCATCTTAGCTGGAAAATATCTAAAAGTACTCTCCACTAATGCTGCTTGTAAATTTTATTCAAAACCAAGGAATAAACTGAAAAGCAATCCTGATACTGCTTTTATGTTCAGTATATCAGATACTCAACTAGAATCAAGAACTCTGATCTGACAAAGACAGGACCCAAGGGGTATCAGAGACATATAGCCAGTGATATAAAGGTTCACCTAATTGTAAAGGGAAAGGACAATTTCAATACTGTTTATGTGTTCCAACTAGCATGATTATAGCTTATTCTGATTTTATTCAGCATCTTTCTTCTTGACTGAAAAAGATTCTAAGGGAGGTAACCTCCTTTCTGAAAATATGGCACGGTGATAGCACATGATAAGATGATGATGGGTGCAAGTGACTAACAGAGAGGTGTCAGTAAGAATGGAGGCCAGTTACTCAGTGAGTGGCCTCTTATCTACAAGTGACAAGCAGGATGAAGCACACATAAATCAAGAAAAAAAAGAAAGCTAGAAAGCTGAAGAAATATCCAGGAAAAGTTGTTGTATGTCAGCCTGAACTAGACAGGTTCATCTGTTTGGAAATACTCCAAGCCCACACTTATCAGGTAGGCTAAATAATCAATCAAACTAAGGCTTGTAAAATTAAGAATGATGTCTGTTATCCAGTGAACTGGTGGGAGCCAGGAGTAAAAAGAAATAGGTGCACAAGGCATGGCTTTAATCTAACCTTAGGTGTCCAGAGACTCTGATTTAAGCATTTCCATTGTTCTCAGGATTGCCTTACTGAGGCTGCCATTTTCTCCATGAAGAAAATGTCAACTATATATAGGCCAACTAAATCAGGACACAGGAAGAAGGAAGAAAGATGCCAATTTCAGGAAAAAGATATTTCAAATCCTGAAAACTGAACAGAATTTTCCTAAAGGTCTGTAGCTGATATCTAAGTCCAAATTTTCGGCTAGTGGTATAGCTCCCCCAATCTCCAGTCACAGTAGTCTCCAATCATAGTAACTGTAGTCATTAAATGGCACCGAAAATAATACACTTTGGCTACTGCCAAAAAAACGGTCAATTTACTATATTTGAAGTAATGCGGAATGGAACTCAGTTCGTGTTAAAAAACATAATAATGTGTTGTTGCACTATTAATTCAATAATTGGACAGAAAGCAGTGATTTGTTTGGTGACTTTTTATAATTTATGGGCTAAGGGGATTCCAGCAGGTGTACATGAGCTCTGCAGCAAAGACAGGTAGAGTCAAAAGTTTCAGAGCTGAGTCTGCATACAGGTTCAGCTACAGATTTCAAAAGGAAATACCCTTATCCAAAGACAATATGCTATAATAGCAGAAATAGAGAGAGAGAGAACTTAAGACTGAAGTTCCATAAGGGAATGAGTCTGCCTGACTCCAAAATAAAAGTTAAAAAAAATTTTTTAAGTCAGGTTCTCACTCTGTTGCCCAGGCTGGAATGCAGTGGCACGACCATAGCTCACCTCCTGAGCTCAGGTGATCCTTCTGTCTCAGCCTCCAGAGTAGCTGGAATTACAGGTGTGTGCCACCACACCAAGCTATTTTAAAAATTTTTTAAGAGGCAAGGTCTCCCTGTGTTACACAGGCCAGTCTCAAACTCCAGGGCTCAGCAATCCTTAGCCTCTAAAAATGCTAGGATTATAGGTGTGACCCACTATGCCTGGCCAGGTTACTGGCAATATTTCTTGGGAGACAATTTTTAAATGGATCTCTTTGAGTTAATACTGTATCTTTACATTTATTTATACTCAACTGGTAATAGTGCTGTGTATAACCTATAAGTATAAACGTTTTAAGTTTACCTTTGCATGATAGATTTGTATCTGTTTCATGGTAGTAAATGGCAGAATAAAGTAGGATAGATATACTTATATTTGATGTGTTCATGACATATTAACTTGTTAAAACATATTTCTAAACTATAGGGAAAAAAGAATCACTTCATGGGAGAAAATTATCACCAGAAAAACAGGATGCTGGCAAAATAGTTTAGTAATTGGCATAGAGCACAGTATCTATATCAATACCGCCAGTAGATATGAATAGGTCCAACTGGGGGAAAAAATGAACATCCTATGCCCCTGGCCAAAACTGTGTCATGGAAGTGATTTTGATAGCAAATTTTCAGCAGAAAAAGGACTAGTGCTTTCTCACAGCTCACTGTTGAATAAATAGGAAGAGC